TTTGTTTATGCTAACAGCAACACAACCAACATGTCATGCTAACCCCAAAATCCCACATACTCCATCAGCGCTCCATGGTTTCCGCGGATCATTAAAAATAATTACAATTCATACATTTTTTTGGATTCTTTTCATTCATTTCATAAATTTTTATTTTTTCATTAATTTTATTATTTTTATTTTATTTTATTTTTTTCGGTGTAACAATAAACATGTACCGAACCGAGCCGAAAACCTTGACCACGAAACCGTGAACCGAACCGAACCGTGGATTTTGTGATATATATATATATATATATATCACACTAGTTCCTTTCGGACACAAATTCCACAATAAAAGGCCAATCTTTATTCCCTCCCACGCTTTAAGAGCCTGATGTTGATATTGTGGAATCAAATGGGCGTGGCTTACATCGTGCAGCAGAAGAAGTATGATAAGCAGGAGATTTTACTGATTGGATTCCCTCAGCCCACACAGTTTGATATTGTCCTCTCCATGCAGCCTCTCATAACCCATTCAGTAAGATCATTTCAGTCTGATTTGTTTTGCGCACTCCAGTTTTTATATGAATCAAATTTTGCTCTGCAACGTATTTCTCAGGTCACCAGTCAGGGAGATCATCTCTCATGTTGCTACAATTGTTCCACAGACCTTTGCCTTGACTTCAATCCCTGTTTGTGATTTACTGGTCTAGGTTAGCCTGATGCTTTTAGATGCAGTCAGATGCTTGATGTGTTCAGTCTGTGCATAGTTAAAGGGTTTAGCTACCCATTAAATTGTGATTAAAATAGCCACCATGTCATAAAAATCTCACTTTCGGTAATTGTTTTCTTTGCAGGTGTGCGGCTCTGATGGAAAAACCTACAGGAACGAGTGCGAACTAAAGAACACCAGATGTTTGGAGAGGAGGCAGTTGTTGATTCAGAGTCAGGGACCCTGTGCAGGTCGGTGCATTACCCGCTCACCCCTAATGCGATTGCAGTGCACAGGTGCTTCCTCATTGTCGCTGCCATCCCATTACTCCACTCATTCCCTCCATCGATGGGGTTAACGTTTCGTCTCTCCTCGGGTTCTAATCCTCACATCGTCTCTGTTGTGTCTCTCCTTTGTTAGCCAAGTCGCTAACAGCTAATGAACTGACAGAGATAATTTCTGAATGTGATTTGCCTTTTCTGTGTGATTTTGCTCCAGGAAAGTTGATTCACGTGGGTTTATGTTTTTTTTTTTTCTTCAGCAGCGTTTGTGTTTCACGTCTTGAAACCGACGGCTCCTCTGAGGCCGGCTGGTGTGCACAGTTATAATCTTTCTCTCAGGCATGTGTGTGTTAGGAGCTGATTGCAGTAATGAGTCTTTTTTTCTATCCTGAAAATCTGACAATTTAAACCATTAAACTTGCCTCCGATCCCTAAGGATACCACTTTACTCCATTATGGCTAATATAAACAGCCATACTTTGCATGCGATAATGGCATTTACCCGGTGAAGTGATCGTTAGATCAGTGGCCGAGCTGCAAAGGTTAACCACCTTCCTCTCTGTGGCTGAGGCAAATGAAGAGCCTTTGCTGGTAAAGGCCGAGGAGCGGAGCAAAAGGCACTTAAGGGATTTCGTGTGATCATTCCAGCCTGTTTGATTCCCCCTGGGTCCAAAAGAGAGGAAGATGGAGCGAGCTGAGGAGAGGGAGAATAAAGGCAGCTCCCAGTGTTTCCACTCACATCCCTGTGGATTCTTCTTCCTCCTAAGCTGGTCTCCTTTGGGCGCTGACTGTCACGCTCCTCTACCCACCATGGATAATCAATCCTTTCTTCTGAACAGCCCTCTATGTGTACAGGACCTTTGGGCTTCTCTTCGTCTATTGGCTAATGGATGAACTCAGATCTTTGGGATTTTCCCTGCCCTCTACATTAATTATGTGAGGGGCAATTTTGAACTTGACCTTAAGTTCAGAAACCAGAATAAGAAGTTTTTTTTTGTTGCTCTGAGCTTTGAAAGAACTTTTTGAGCCTAGTTTTAACTTTCCTATCAGCTACAAAGCCTCTGCATAAAATTCATACAGCTTTTTCACAGTTTTAAGATACAATCAGAAAGTTTAGCGATAAAATTTTTGGATTTTACAAAAGAATAAAGCAGAATGTCACTTTCAAATAGGGAAAAGAAAATAATACTTTTTTTTAGTTAACATGCATTTGTATTCAGTCCCCTTTACTATGATACCCCTGAGTAAATTACAGTTGATGCATTAATGCCCTTAGAGGGTTTGTTAGGGGATATTACAAAAAAACTAAACAAAAGAAATAATGCCCCAAACTTTATAAATCTCATGGAACTCTCTTGAGTCCACCATTCCAACATTAGTGGATGATCCACCCTAAAATTATAGGTCTTTAACAGAAGCTGGTCACTCTGGAGGAGCTGCATGATCAACAGCTCAGGTTGGGGAAGGAATCATGTTGGTCACATAAAAGACTGGAGGTTCACTTCCAGAAGAAGGGTTAGCCTAAACATACAGCCAGGTTACAGAGGCAGCATCGAAGACCAAAAAAGAATTAGAGAATTCATGTTTTATTAAATCCTCTCCATCCACTCTGAATGAACTTGTGCTGCTTCACAACAGCAAATAAGCAAAACGTGAAACGTTCAGATTTGCAGAGCGGTTAGAAGCAAAACCCTGAAGCACATAATTATAGTGAGTAGTCTAGTTAAAAAAAAAAGAGGGGCGGATGGTAGATTTTTTTTATTTTTTGGCCTAATTAATATAGTCTATTAACTATATAGGCCACTTTGATTTTATTTATTTTGCTCAGGCTACTATGTGGGCTACTCATAAGCCCACAGACCGCCAAATGTTGAAAGGGAAATATTATTGCATATCATTTAAGAAGGGGGATGATTCTTAAGATTTTTTTTAAGAAGGAGGATGCCATTCCCCCTCATCAGCCCCTCAGTTCGACTACTGATTATAGCGAAATGTGTGTCGAAAAATATAATTTGATATTTTAGATAATATTTTCAGGTCAGTATAAAGCACATGCTCCCTGACTTTTCTCAAAAACTCGCTTCTGTAACTTTAGAGGGTCGAATCCGTCACTAAGTGAGTTTGGCTTTGCGGCAGTGTGAGCCCCCTCTTTAAACACGATAGCTAACTAAGCTAAAAGTTGTTGTGAGGCAACAAAACAGATCTGATTCATAAGCTTAACCTGGAACCTCCAGGTCTAGCGCCCCTAGTGGTTAAACGTTACACAAGGGGCTGGATATAAACACACGCCACATTGTTCAGATTTTATGTTTTCCAAAATTCTGAAATCCATGGATCATTTTCTTCCAGCTCATAAACAATGTGCACATTAGTTTTGGTCTGAATCCATTTATAATAAGATATAGTTAGTTATAAGATCTAAAAACCCTTTTCCAAGGTGCAGCACATGGATATTTATACTGTTTACAGGCCTGAGGTGATTCACATAATTCCTCTGTGGTACCTGTCAGCTCAAATATGGCGCAAGACTTAGTGGAAATTAGTGGAAATTTTAATAAGTCCATAAAAATACTATTATTGCAAAAAAAAAAGAAAGATAATACCGTTCAGAAATATGAAATGTACTATTGCTCGTCAAAGTGAGCGGCAATGTGCCTGGCAACAGCTACTGGAGGGCAAAGAAACCAAGCAAAGGGTGGAAGAACATATGAAATTAAAAGTTCTCCTCGTCCTAATAGGCTTGGTGCAGATAGCCCAATGCAGCGTTGGAAAGTGGCGAGTTAAATGAACTGTGTCCAGAGCCCATCTCTGGAGTGGGAAAGCGCTGGAAAAAAGGAGCGAGCCGAGTCATCACCATTAGGCTGTGGCTCATATCCACACCAGTAACAGTGTGATTTATGGCCCGGTATCTCCAGCCTCCAAACTCCAAATTAGCAACATAAGAAAGGGAGATTGGTTGGGGAATAGAGAGAGAAAGAGCGGACTGAAGAGAGAGCTCTCTTTTTTTTTCATCTACAACTTAACTTTTCACTCAAAAGCTTTGAACGATGAGCTTTTTCTTGCCTTGGCTATTAAACAATCCCCCCCCTTTTATTTTTTCTCCTCGTATTGTGTTTGCTGTTCACTTCCAGCTTGGAAAAAGAGGCCAATTTCAGGGACACGCTTGTTTCTATCTTGTTGAATGTAGCTCTGCCACAGCAGTTTGGCGGCTGGTGACAAAAGAGCTTTCTGTACAGGCAGAAGCAGCTTGGCACGTTCCTATGCATAAAGTAGTTTGTGTTTTTTTTTATATATATATATATATATATAAGCTGTAGGTTTTCAGCACAACAGGAACAAATGAAGAGAACATGCCGTGTGGTAGGTGGTAAATGTCAGCTGCTGCAAATTCAGAAGAGTCGTTGCTTGTTTTCACCAGAGGGATCAATTCTGTCTCACTGTAGGAAAAAAAAAAAAGCTGCTCCAATTGTGTTGTCTAAAGTCCAACCAATCCAAACCTGACCAATTCCGTGTGTATTCAGGTCCCTTTCTTCTCTCCTTTGTGCCATCTTCCCCTCAGAGAATCCTCCCGCACCTCCGACTGAGCTGACGGCGCCGCAGCACTGCAGCCTCTCTCCGTACGGCTGCTGCTCCGACAACGCCACCGCCGCTTTAGGGGTCGGGCAGGCTGGATGTCCCAGTAAGTCCATGTACCCCTTCCAGGCTCCGCCTACTGAATTCCAGATGCTATCAGGCTTTATTGACCTTCACTGCTGTTGAAGTTTCTGCAAGATTACAAGCAGAGCTACAGAGCTGGAAGCGTTTCAGCTTAATCCAGGGAATAATTATGATAATGCCAGTCTTTACCAACGAAAAAAAAAAAAAAGCAAATCTTCTGATGATTTTGACTCTTGATATGGTGGAGATGTGGAATGAAAATGTTGCATCAGGCCGTAGTCTTTGAGATCCTGAAGATTTAGATAAAAGCGTAGATTTTCCACCCCCAACACAACCAATCCATGTTGTAGAAAGGATTTGAAGAGCTTAAGAATCACAGATGTTGTTGAATTTTCCACAGGTACGTGTCAGTGTAACGTCCACGGCTCCTACAAGGGCACCTGCGACCCGACCAGCGGGCAGTGCTCCTGTAAGCCGGGCGTCGGCGGGCAGAAGTGCGACCGCTGCGAGCCAGGCTTCTGGAACTTCCGCGCCATCGTCACCGAAGGCATGAGCGGCTGCACACGTAAGGAAGCCAAATAATCCACGTCGTCTTGGAGCTGCTTTCTGCATTCTTATCAGAACCTCAGGGAACGAGGAGGATAGATGTAAAGGTCAACGTTCCCATAATGTTTAATGCTACATTCATAAAGCGTTTGTTGACAAACAGGCGAAGTTACTGACTGAATTTGAGCAGATTGATTTCCTGTTGCATCCTTTAATGCTGTCAAAACAGGACTGAATGAACGGCTATGCGGTTGAGGCGTGAGGTCATGACCTCTTTGTTTGTCTTGATGTAATGTAATACGCCGACCGCTGCCTCCTGGAGCCAGGTAGCCGGCTTTCAGTCACCAGCAGGGAGCCTGCAGGTGTCTAACCTGTGGCCTGACCTTAACAAGGTTTACCCAGCGCAAGCAGACAGCAAACAGAACACCAATGAGGTTTTCAGCAGGAGGGGAGCAGGGAGATAAAAATAATCACATCATTGATTCGAGGAACATGATGGGCTTGATGTCCTTCCCCGAGGTTGTTGTTTTTTTAAGGTCCTTTTACAAAATCATTCTCCTCCTTCTTCTCTCCCCGCTTGAGGTGAGTTGAACTGTTCCCAACCTCTCACTCTAAGACAAAGATGTATCTCTGTTTACCTACCGCACTTAGCGAAGCTGCCAGTTATTGTCCCTGATCGATTTGTTTTGGGTGTTTTTTTTTTCAATCAACGCTTCACTTTTTTTCTTTATCTCCACTTCATTTCAGCGTGCAGCTGCGATCCCACAGGCTCGGTGCGGGATGATTGCGAGCAGATGTCGGGCCTGTGCTCTTGCAAGACGGGGGTGAAGGGCTTGAAGTGCAACGTGTGCCCAGATGGGAGGAAGATCGGCATGAACGGCTGCGACAACGGTAATAAGAGAGAGAAGTGAGGTGGATAGAGGCGCCTCAGGCTCCCCTGTCCTCTCAGCTTTGCTCTTCCATCCTGAAGAGGTTTTCTTTCACTTATCTGATTAGTGGATAAGCCTTATGGCGGCCACTCTTTCTTGATCTCCTCTCGGCATCCATCAGGTTTATTGGCGAAGAAGGAAGTGGCTGCGAGATAGCTAATCAATAGTGATTAGGGAAATAGTCGAGTGTTCAAAAGGCCCATGAGCGACATATTACCCATTGATGTTTCTATTTCTCTGCATCAAGCCTCATGTTGGATGATTCAGCACCAACATGTATGTGCTTACATAAGAGCTATTGATGGCCTTTGATTGAAAATAAACCCGCCCCGGCGATTGCTTCGAAGGAAACGGGAAAGAAAACAGTTAAAGGAAAGGTTAGTTCCTGCTGGGGGGGTGGGGGCTGCCGCTCCTTGATTAAGATTCACCATCTGACATCGACTGGAAGTCAAACGCTTAATGAAGCCAACAGTCTCAGCGCATAGCGAGGCGCTCAGACACACACAGAGATAAAAAGAAAAGGTACTCAGAGGGTGCTTCACATGAAAACATGGGGTGGTGTGTGATGCTGTAACAATGTGATGAAACCAAACCACCTCCGAGGGTTCAGCTGTTGGATCAACAAGGATTCATCTAACCTTTAGGGGGGAAAAGATGACAAACGCTGCAAAAAAGTTCTGAAAATGTGTAAAAGTGTCTTAAACTAAGTGTATTTAGCCTTAATGTAAGTAGGAAAATAACCTGCCAATAGAATAAGCATTTTTAACCTCAAAATAAGATAATTAGGTATTATGCACTTGAAGTAACGTTTGTTTTTTTCTTATTTTAAATGTAAACTGTCTTGTTACTCAATTCTAGAAAACGGCACTTATTTTAAAAAACAAAATTACTTCCTTAGATTTACATTTTTTGCAATGCAGGTGAATGGATGATATGAACTCTGCTTCTCATATTGCAAAAAACAATCTAGAAATAAGTAAAAAATTCTTTAATTAAGTGTATTTACCCTTGATTTGAATAGGTAAATGAGATAATTTGCCAATCAAAAGACTATTTTTACTCTTAAAATAAGATAATTAAATAATATCCCCTAAAATAAGACAATGCATTTGTGTTTTCTTATTTTAAATCTAAATTGTCCTGTTCCATTGGCAAAATGATTTTTTCCAGTGTAATAAACATCAGTTTATTAAACATTACAGTGATGTTGATCATTATCAGAAGGGACAGAAGGAGTAAGATTGCAAACCTGTTTCCTGCACAGGTCCAGACGCCCCAAAGTCGTGTGAAGAACTGGTTTGCAGCTTCGGTGCAACCTGCATCGAGGAAAACGGCCAGGCCCATTGTCAGTGCCCCCCTCCTGACTGTGATTTAAGAAACAAAACAAAGGTATGTTTGTTTGCTCGAGCGAGTGGGTTGATCCACGAGCCCCCTCCCCTTCAAACTGAACAGCAGGGAGCTAACATGTGGCTCCGGCTCCCGTCCCTCCATCTCTGTCACTGTGGAGCAGGTGTGCGGCTCAGATGGGGTGACCTACGCCGACCAGTGCCAACTGAGGACCATAGCCTGCAGGCAGGACAAGGACATTATGGTGCAACACTTTGGACAGTGCACAGGTGAGCCTGAGCCATACCTCAATGCATCACAGGCGGAGAGGTTAGCCAGCTGTCCGAATGGTCGCCTGCTGGTTCTGAGACCGTCCAGCTCTCTATCTCGAGGGGGAAATTAGGAAAGCTGGATCGGAAACGCTAAATAAATGCTAGTGCTGCAGATACGCTAACTGGTCACTTTATTATGTACACCTGTTCAATTAGCCACTGATACAAATAGCAAATTAACCAATTCCATGGCTCTAACTGCACATGTTTAAGCTTGTGTTGTGTGGGAGAGAAAGAAAAGGAGACAGAAAGATGGGTCGCCATGGACTGTTCTTAAAAAAAAAAAAAAAGACTTAAATTCCTTTTTTTTTTTTACCATTGATCCTACAAAAACATACAGAACTGCACTGTAAAAACAGGCTAATAATGGTTCTGCTGAGAGAATAAATACGTCTTTATTTGTTCTGTTCCATTACCAGATCTGTCCCAGAAAAGTAATCCCTGCTCTGTCTGGCAGCGCATTTTGGATTTATAAATAAATGCCTCATTTTTTGATTTCATGTTTGCATTTCATTGTACTTGTTTAGTGTATTGTGGATAATCTAAAAAAGGACAACTCAAATACAGATGAAGACGATATTTCACCGGAAATGTTGGATAAAGACACAAGAAATATGAAGGAGGGAATTCAACGCATTTATTCTCTCAGCAAATTCATTATTAATATTTCATACAATGTAGCTTTTTATGTTTTAATAATTTAAAGATAGAAATAGGCACTTTCAGTGTCGCCTTAACATTATTTGCAGTAAGGATGACCTGGATGGATCTGTGGTTGCATCTGATGACACCTGGTGACAGTGTTGACTGTACGTGCATAACATTGCCTGACTTACATTCCCATCTGATCTGCAGATCTTCCTTTACTGCAGAAGTGAATTTTGACTTCATTATATCTAAATTAGATCAGTCAAACCTGATCTACTTGATTTTGAGATTCTTTTTCTAAAAGTCTTTCTTTTATTTGGCTTTAGAACCATCTTAGATTAGCAGAAGCTGTTCCCCCTGAATCCCCCCTTCTTTGCCTCAGCTGCTCTGACGCTGTTTTATGGGATCATTTCTTGTCACATTTTAGAGCCCGTAGCACCGATAGAGCATCTCTGAAACACTCCCCCTGCTGACTATATCCATCCAATCTGAACAAAGCCCCAATCATATCAACCAGTTTCTCTACATTACAATGAATGAACTGTCCTCCAGTGGCCTCCAACATAACCAGATCTCATTCTGAAAGAGACCCTTTGGAGCATTTTTGACCCAGAGATTCTCATCATGGTTACACTGGAAAACGTGTAACCTTGCTTAAATAAAAAAAAAAATATGATGTCCAGATATGTAAAATATTTGACCTCACAGAATCTGAATTTAATCACTTGTAATGACCTGATTATTTTATGCTGATGTGAACAATAATGCTAATTTAATGCTAATTTCCGTTGATGAACCAAACTAATATACTGAAATTGATCCAACCTAATGTACTTACTTTTAACTAAATTAACATGAATTAATGTTTGTATTGACACCGGTTAATTAATTTAAATATATCCAAATTATAATTTTCACATTTCATTTGTCTTTACTTCAAAAATAATTTCCGTTTCCCATATTAGAAATTCTTAAAAAAAAAAAAAAAAAAAAAAAAAAACACCTGGCCAACAGGTTACTTTAAATGTATTTATTAACTGTTAATGTAGCGTGTAATGTATGGTGTAAATCCAGGTGGTGTAAATTGACGTTAACTAACCTCGGCAAGCGGTAGTAGTTAGCAACCGTCGCTAACACGCTCACCAAAACAGCCCTCCTGCTCTTTATAACAGTGGAGGCTCCCGCTGCCAGTGACGGTTGGCTAACAAGCATGTAACGTGAATGAAACTCCACTCTGTACCTTCAAGCAATGTTTGTTTAGCTCTGGATGTAGTGAGGGCTTTTGGCTAGCTTTTGGTTAGCAATTCATTGTCATAACGTTATCGGTGAATGAAAAAACCCTCTCAGACGTCAGCTAGCTAATATTAACTCGCTAACTAACCAGCTATAACATTGATTATATGCAACTGCTTTGCTACTTGCGTTTATTTATGGGTTAAAACCACCCAGGAAGTAGAGACGATGAAAATGGCGCTCTCTCACGGTCTGGGACTTGGACTTGTTGATAGTCTGTGACTTGGACTCTATCATGTGATCTGACTGTGTGCAAAGCGCAATTCACATGTGACTCAAACATGAAAAATTACCTGCAGGTCATGAATAAATATATACACTACCGTTCAAAAGTTTGGGGTCACATTGAAATTTCCTTATTTTTTAAGGAAAATAACTGTATTTTTCAATGAAGATAACTTTAAACTAGTCTTAACTTTAAAGAAATACACTCTATACATTGCTAATGTGGTAAATGACTATTCTAGCTGCAAATGTCTGGTTTTTGGTGCAATATCTACATAGGTGTATAGAGGCCCATTTCCAGCAACTATCACGCCAGTGTTCTAATGGTACAATGTGTTTGCTCATTGGCTCAGAAGGCTAATTGATGATTAGAAAACCCTTGTGCAATCATGTTCACACATCTGAAAACAGTTTAGCTCGTTACAGAAGCTACAAAACTGACCTGCCTTTGAGCAGATTGAGTTTCTGGAGCATTACATTTATGGGGTCAAAATGGCCAGAAAATGAGGACTTTCATCTGAAACTCGACAGTCTATCCTTGTTCTTAGAAATGAAGGCTATTCCATGCGAGAAACTGCTAAGAAATTGAAGATTTTCTACAATGGTGTGTACTACTCCCTTCAGAGGACAGCACAAACAGGCTCTAACTACAGTAGAAAAAGAAGTGGGAGGCCACGTTGCACAACTGAGCAAGAAGATAAGTACATTAGAGTCTCTAGTTTAAGAAACAGATGCCTCACAGGTCCCTAACTGGCATCTTCATTAAATAGTGCCCGCAGTAGCCTGTTTCTTTAAAGTTCAAACTTTTGAACGGTAGTGTACATATTGAGAGAAATCAGAAACTTTGTTTTGGGTCCTTTATACGTGTATTTATTTCATGTTAAATCAAACTTGGAGATCCAAAAATAATGAGTTACACAATCAAATCAATAATTTTATCCAGTTTACAGTGGAAATCATTAGTTTGAATGAACAGCTACATGTTACACTTTTTTCAGTGTATTTAGCTGTAATGTGTGATGATTTAATGTTAGATTAAACCCCAAAATCTGAGGACTCTAACCAACAGCTTCCTGTATTTATGCTGTGAATAACTAAGGCAGGTTTGGAGCTGATAGAGACTCGAACCTGGTGCTGGAAAAGTCTACCTAATGACTTTCGTGTTGGTTAATCCAGTAGTAGTAGTTTCTCAAGACACAGCTAGACTGCTGCTAACGATTAACACAGCAGTGATATCCATTTAAACCCCTTAGAACGGGAATGAAGAGGGCTTTTTTTTCTTGTCAGAAGGTGAATAGAAATGCAGAAAACATGTGTACATGGGGGAAAGGTGCAGCTCCTGCCTCCTTTAATCCAGATGTTGACGGACGGGGCTCGGATCGCTGTAATGGGTGCCGGGACGCCTGCCAAGGCCGCAGCTTGGATGTGGAGTGAAGATGTCGCGCCGGCTGCCAGCTTGGATCACAACAGGAATCTAGAAAAGAGGCCGGAGAGCGGCCAGGGGAGAAACGGGGCCAGCTGTGGAGCTGTGGTCATGAGCGACTGCCAGGTGTCCGGCGTCTGTGGGTGGAAAAATGTTCATTCACCTTATCACTTCAATGGGCGCAGAGTCAGCGACCGGAAAAACCCGACAGGGGAGGCTTTCCATCCCTCTCCATGGAGTGGTGTTGATTAGACCCCCTGAGTCGGGACATATCCATCGGTGGTGAGGATGTCAATATGGTCGAGAGCAAGTGGCAGCCTCAGATAAAAAACAGAAAAATGCCCAGCAAGAAACAGACAAGGCTTTGATAAGTCCCAGAACATCTGGTAATTACACATTCAGTGCCGTGGGTGGCTTTAGTCGCAATAGCAGCCAAAATCAGGTCTGGATTCAGACGCCTCTGTTGCCTGGCAATGGAGATGTGGGTTGTGTGTAATCTCTCACCTAGCATTGCTGCACAGGGAAAGGCAGGGAGAGACGCCTTGCAGCGGGCTCTCTTTCCTATCTATCCCTCAGGAGACATGGAGCCCACAGACAGGCAGAGAAGATCTTTTAATTTCTTCCCAAGGATGCGGTCGCACCGCGGGTTGCTGCGCCGCCGCTGTCAGCTCAGGGAGGGTGGGGGGGTGTTAGATCTCCAGCTTATTTCACGTGTGGCTGGGTGCGAATTAGCATTCGCTGTGCCTCCGCCCATCACCACGCCGCAGCTTCGCCTGCTTTCCCACCCACTGTTTACACGCACGGCTTCCAGACGCCCGTCCTCGGCGCTGCGGCGTGCTAATGCTCAACAAGCTGCTTTGTGGCTTAACTGCCGCGCCGCGCCAAAGGGCCTGAATACATGAGCGAATATTGGTCGTTTTGTTTGCTCACTGATGTGTTGCATCATTTCACTGGTTAACACTAGTGAAAGATATGCTTCTGAGACGTTCTTACCCAGAATCTACAAATTCTAAGTGCAAACATCAGCCCTGTGATAAAATGTACGTAGATTCCTCTGTTTTTTCTTTATTGTCCCCCTTTTTTAAGGTCATCAAATAATTGGGACTAATAGATGTTTGTTTTAGGTTTATTTTATTTTTGGTTTGTTCTACATAAGTCACATCCGGGGTGGATTATTGTTGAAACAATAACCTAAACTGAAAAAAAGGGACTTTTTGATCCTGTTGATATTATGTAGAATTTACTGCAAATCGTCATGCAAAATGACACATTTTATCTGATGTGTGGCTTATAATTAATTTCTGAATCTATTCCCATCAAAACAAAAGTGTTTTTTTTTCATCTTACCAAATAGTATCAACAAAAGAAT